TATGTATGTGTCATGGCATATATACTAGTGATGGATATTTAGATTACTTTCATATTGTTGTTACATGTTACAAACAATTTTGAAGTAAACATTTTTGCACAGTTAGCTCCTAAGAACAATTCTTAACAGTGGTTTGCTTACGGTGTTTTTATTATACATTTTGGTAAATATTTCCAAATTATTCTCTAAAAAGTCCCCATTTTCACTCCCTCCGTAGCAGAGCCCATTTCTCTGAACCCCTGCCAGTATTAATCTTTTAAAAATCATTTTGCTTTTTGCACAACTGAACAGAGAAAATAAATTGCTTTTATGTGTATTCTGAATGTTTTTGTCCTAGAAATCAAGTATACCCTTAAATGATACTTAGCTGCTCCTAAGCAGATTTTTAAAATATTCTTTTAGTTCTGAAAAGCAGTGTTGTTGGAATAAGTTGATAGTATCCCAAGGTGACCATTTTGAAGGGCATATTGAAGAGTAGCTCTCGTGTTGGTATTAGTAAAAAGACAACCCTTTCTTTATAATCACACTTACACCTGACATGCTCATATATGACTATACAGCAAAATTGGATAGTCACTAGAAATTGGTCAGCAACACGTATTGCATTCCTGCTATGTGTACCATCCTTTTTGCCAGAAGGGATGTGGTGTTATGGCCCTTGTCCTTGGGGAACTTATAGACTAAGCCTTCAAGAACATTTAATAGGAGGTGGAAAGTGACATATACAGTAGCACATTTCCCAGGGTGGTCCTGTGGGAATTCTCCATCAGAACTGGTATTGACTAAGTGTTTGTTGAGTGACTCTTACAGATTTCTAAATGTATGAAGTCATAGTGATTTTTTTTGTTGGTGTGTTTTGAGTGTTGAGGATTGAATCAAGGGTATTATACATGTTGGGCAGGGGGTATCTACCATGGAGCAAAATCCCCAGCCCAGGCACACTGTTTTAATAGAGAAGATGTCTGCTGATGTTGGGGTGTTTTGAGCCTCTCTTCTATAAGGATTAAGTTGGGTAGTTGGTGTGCGCCTTCAGAGGTGTTTGCCCTTTCCCCTTTCCTTCATAAACTGAAATGGAGCTGATTCATTTTGCTGAAAAAGATGTTCTTGAGGGTACTTTTACTTTGCCCTTTGACCTTTTGGTGCCAGAACACCCATTAAATGTGTAGCTTCTCATTGAAGTCCTTGTGCTTGTGTGTGTGGGGGGAGGGAACTACTCAATACTGAGGCGGAAGTGCCTACCCCTCTGCTAAGCAGCCAGTCGCATTTCTTTCCCGGGGGAAGATGGCGTCTTGTGATTGCTCTGTGAGGATGTTTGCAGCTCTACCAATCTGTGATCTTGTGATTCTGCGACAAGTATTTCATTTATAAGTAATTCTGTGGGTGTAGACATTTCTTTGTGGTTATAGAAAAAGTTGTTTTTATAAGTGAAACTTAAATACTCCCTTTTAATTTTGTAATTTTTTAATTAATATGCCTAAACTAATTAATTCATGTGTCTAAGATTAAATAGCTCAGAAACTTGACACTTAAAAGAATCTCATAGTGTTAGAGGATGTAAAAGGTCAGTATGAGGGTATACATTTTTTGATTCAGGGATGCCTTGTTCATGTATGCTTTTCCCATTAGCTTCTGTGTAAAATAACTGGTCAATATACAGTAAAGGAAAAAGATAAATATTAGTGTTATTTATTTGATTAGTGGTTCTTCTCAGTTAAACTTCCTTTTAATTTCAATATCTTAAAACTCATTAGGTAATAATAGTAGAATAATATGTTACTATCCCAAAATTTGAAAAAGAACCTCAGTTACCTGTAATGGTTTATTAACTAGATATTCTCCTATATGCCATCTCTAGAAGAAAGAAATGAGAAGATCTGGTGTTACAGGTCTCCCCCCCCCATAGCAGGGATGAAATGCAGAGCTGTACATGTTAGACAGGTCACCTACCTGCTGAGCTACATTCCTAGCCTCAGTTATAGGTTGTTTTCTTTTGTTTTGTTTTTGCAGTACCAGAGATTTAACCTAGGTCGTTAGCCCCAGCCCTTATTTATTTATTTTTATTTATTTATTT